CCTGAGGGACACCTGAATAAACGGACACAGAAGTCGACTGCCTCCAACGTTTGTTTACGATTAGTTAAGTGAGTTTTAAGAAATTTAAGAGGATTGCCAAGAAGACCAACTTTAATTTACTCAACAAAATTTTGTGGTTAGTCGTGTCGAACGCCTTATGCCCATATTCACCGTCCCTTGAGAAGTACGATTAATGACTAATCCAGATTATTGCCGCGACACCTGCTAATCGCGTTTAGGCATAATCCTAACGTATTGACAGTTTAATCCGAGAATTGACGGATTAGGGTTCTAACCTTTTTTCGAGTTGTTGATGTTTTTGCGAAAAAGTGCATTTTTGCAAAAGTACAAAAGTAATGCAGATCGAAGATGAGATTTCCCTTGACAATGATGGTGACATCCTAGATATTATTTGCTTCGTATTTCCAAGACACTATTATGAACGTACAGATTTTTTTAACGAGATGGACGACCAAACGTTTTTCTGGAGATTTCGGCTCAAAAAAACACTGTCCTCAGATTAGAAGAACAAATAAAGCATCAACTCGAGTTCTATAACAATTTGTAAGTATTTTTTACCAAGTATTAAATTACGATAATCAATTTCCTTGGCCAGAATTGAAGTTTAGACAAGAACGTCTTTAAACACCTTTTCCTCTGGCTGTGGATCTGAATCATATTAGTTATTTCCAAGATTTCAGTCACTATAAAATGTTTGTTTTTCCAGGAATAGTAGTGTGTCGCCCGTTAATCAGCTCCTTACATGCCTACGATTTATGACTGCAATGCACATTAAAATTGTATTGTAGACTTTATTAGCATGCATCAGACAACAGCATCCCGTATAATTGCAAAAGTTTCAAGAGCAATAGCAGGTTTATCAAATCAATATATCGGAATGCCCAATGAAGCTGATGAAATAATAAGAGTTCAGAATGGCTTCTATAGGATCTGTAGATTTCCACGTGTCATTGGATGCATTGACGGGACGCACATAAAGATGCAATCACCAGGAGCTCAAGATGGAGTTTTTCGTAATATTTTAGTAATATGTTTCTATAAATACGCAAATACGAGGGATGTCTTTTAAGTTTTGCATATGGAAATTGAACAACATGGTAGGTAGTTTTAAATGACTTTATTGTGTTTCGAAGTATTCACCACGAAGATTAATACACATCTGCATGCGCTCGAACCAATTTTCGAAGCACTTATTCCACTCGTTTGCTGGCAGATCCAAAAAGGCATTTTTGAATGCTTCTTTTGGTGACTGGAACCTTCGACCACGCAGTCTGTTTTTAATTTTCGGGAAAGTAAAGAAATCGTTAGGACTTAGATCGGGACTATATGGAGGGTGGTCCAATAATTCCACGTTTTCTTCCGTTAAATACTGCCTTGTTTTTTGGACTGTGTGCGAGCTTGCATTGTTGATGGATGATGATTCTTCTTTCGGGGTTGATTTTTCGAAGCTTGGTGATGACTTTTGGCAAACAAATGGTGGTATACCAATCCGCAGTAACAGTTCTTTGCTCATTAAGAGGAATTGTTGCAATATGACCCGCTTTTGACACAAATTTCTCGACCATCTCTTTTGAAACACTTCGAGAACGGATGACTTTTGTTGGCTTTTCTTCACCTTGGAACACCCAAATAGCCGACTGTCGTTCATTTTCTGTTTCATAACAGTAAATCATCATCACCACTAACAATGCTGTACACATTTTTTGAGTTTCGGGAATTGAAACGGTCAAGCGTTTTTTGACACCAATTAACCCTGGCTGCTTTCTGCTCTTCAGTCAACAGGTGGGGTATCCAACGAGGAACTAATTTTCTTGCTCCTAATTCTTCATGTACATTTTTTGAATTGGGGTCTTTGAGATCTTCAAGGACGCCTCAATCTCGCGATATGTCACATGTCTATCTTCAATGATGAGTTTGCGCACAGCATCGACGTTTTCCTGGGTGACTGCCGTTTTTGGTGCACCCACCCTGGGATCGTCGCTAAGACTCACCCGTCCACGTTTGAATTCTCCATACCAACGGGAAATTGTCGACTGATGTGGTGCTTCGTTGCCGAAAACAGACAGTAACTCAGCAAGGCATTCTTGTTGCGATAATTGTCTTTGAAAGTTGTAATAAATTATGGCGCGAAAATGTTATCCGTTGAGTTCCATTTTTCTAATGACTTGGTGACACTTAAAAATTCACTGTAGTGAGAGCACTGCACGTATTATTGTGAAACTTTGAATTTAAGTTTACTAAAGAGTGAGGTTAAGATTCAGTATTGACGTTCGATCCGCGCGGCCTACTATGTGCCTATATGCAAAACTTAAAAGACATCCCTCGTAGTTGCTGAGCCAGATTTGAAAATATTTGATATTGTTGCTCGATGGCTAGGATCGACCCATGATTTAATTATTTTCAATGCCTCCCACCTATGAACACGCATTGAAGGGAGACAATTTCAGAACGCGGTCGTCTTGGGAGATAATGGTTACCAGCTGAAAGTCTACCTAATGACACCTCTACAAAATCCAGGCAATGTTGTCGAAAATCTCTATAATGAAGCTCATGTGCAATGTAGTAGAAACATTAATTGCTGTTTGAAAACGTCGGTTCCCCGATGTGTTGCAGAATGCGGTGGACGAAGTTGTAGAGTGGGCGGAACGGTGGCTGATAAAAATGAATCATTCGAAAACGCAGCCAATTTATTGTACCAAAAAAACGTCGCGGCCCCCCCAGCAGAAGTTTCTGTAGACGGAAATCGTGTACCATGGACAAAGTCTGGCAAGTATCTCGGTGTCACCCTTGATAAAGGCATGAGGTGGCAGAAACATACAGCATCCATAAAAATAAAATTCCAAATTGCGTTTCGGCAACTATATCCTTTGTTATGTAGATCCTCCAATTTGAGTTTTAAACAAAGTTCGACTATATAAAATGATTATCAGACCAGCCATTACTTATGCATGTGCGGCTTGGTGTTTACTTGCCAAGACACACATGCAAAGTGTTCAAGTACTGCAAAGCAGAACTTTGAGGACAATTTGCAACGCTCTATGGTATGTCTCAAATGAGACACTACACAGAGACCTTGACATTCCTTACTTGAGGGATTATGTCAAGCTTCAGGCGCAGCGACGTTATAGTCAAGCGGAATCGCACAGCAGCCCTCTGTTGCGTGACTCAGTGGACTACCAACCATTATATTTAAAATACTGTCTGTCAAATGGAGTAGTGAAGAAATTGTACTGTGCTCAGCACGAAATCCAGACTGACGGACAGAGACTGAATTGTTCATCTCTAAGTAGGTATTCAATTAGTTGAAGATAAACAACCATTTCTAATATAGTTGAAAAGAAACATAGTATGCTGACGGGTCGTAAATGATCAAGGGTTAGCAGATTTTTTATTTTGGCTAGAGGAAAGATTATTGGTTCTTTCTAGACATCAGGAAAACTCCCAGTTTACAAACATATATTAACAGTATGAGTTAGATGCTGGAGTACTTCAGGTAAACAAAGACCAAACATGTCCACACCGATGCCATCACAGCCTATTGCAGTCGACTTTATAGAGATGGAAATATCTAGGATCTGTTGAAGACTTACCAGTCTAAACACATATAGCGTTAAATTAGGATTGAATACATTCTGTCGGCAAAATTCAGCTGTAGCATCAATTGATCGGGAATGGGTATGAGTATTTTGAAAATTCAATAAAAAGTGGTCATTAACTTCGTTGGGTTTTAATAAATTTAACGGAATCTCAGTATGTTCGGGACAAACGTTCATCATCCTAAGTTGATCCCAGGCTTTCTTCGAATTTAATTGATGAAACCGTGACAGAGAGGCAAGTGCGAAATTTCTCATATCTTTATAAATTTGCCAATTGCAATCGGAAGCGTTCTGATGAAATGTAGCTAACGCTTTATCCCTTTCACCGAAAATGGCTTTCAGCGCAAATGTTAGTTAAGAGGCAGGTTTTTTGTGACGCGCTGTCCGAACTGGAGCATGGTAATCGAACAGTTGAACTAATGTCTCTGTAAGTGTACTAACTGTTTGGTTAATGTCGTAGACATGAGTATTCTGTATGAGCCTGTCATCGCTAAGGGCCATATTGTCAGTCATTCCTACAATTGCAGGTTGCCTTTATGGCCTTCTTAATTTTTATTATTTTTCCTGTCCCCCAAAAAGGCAGAGGAATTTCTAGATTTCTCATGTTCCGTGTCGGCGCTCTATTTTGAGGTAATGTTTTTTTTTTTTAATTTAAGGAATTTCAGGCTGATGAAACTTACTTTTTATCAACTGTTTTATAGTAGAAATATAGAATGCCTTCCTGAAGGAGCGAAAATATTATGAAAATCCAGGATGCTATAAAGGCGTCCTACAATTCTAGGAACGACTGCCGATACGACCCTAAATCCTCCTTGAACTAGACGATATGCATGTCTTTGTAATCTCTGTAGGTCACAAATTTATCTTCGGTGTGTTTAACTCCTATATTAAATTCGCAAAAAAAACTAATCTATGAACAGATATGATATCAGCATTAGTAGAATTCAAAACAATACCTACATCACTGACATATATAACATCAATCAAGGTGGAATTGAAGCGAGTTATACGTGTAGGATCATCAATTACTTGTCTAAAGCCATAGAAATCACAACAAGCGCTGAGGGCATTGCTGGGATCCATCAAATCTATATTCATGTCACCCAAGATGATTTTATTACCAAATTTTGGCAAGAAGAAGGAGATGAAATTATCAATTTGACTAATGCATTCATTAACTGGACAATAAGGCGGTTGTAAGCCGCAATGAATAAACTACTATAGGATCCAAATTTGTACTTACAACACAGTCTTCAAGCATGCTACTTACCCAAGAGGTTCACTTCATCTGGTCTAAAATTGGATACTTGTCACACTTGACTATAAACGAAGGTACCACACAACTATTATAGATTATGGCTTAAAGATGGTAGGTATACATACTTTTGTCATGCCCGCCATATCCATAATCAAAAGGTCTCCCGAAGGATACATGCACACTCTTCCGACGACGTGTCGAACTACGTGCACAAATTATTATCTGTTTGTTTATTACTGGGTACAGAAAATAGCGAATAATCCAACAATGTAGAAACTGGTTCAAATTACAATTACAATTGAAGTGTATACTTGCGATTATTATCACCAATGATAAAATATTGAATGAAATTCGATTCTAAATCAAATAACAATGCATAGATGCGAGGGGAGCGATGGTGATATAAGTCAATGGACTGAACGAAACTCATCAGGTGCCTCCTTAGATCTCGGAATCGACATTTTTCATTCAACAGAAACTCGCGAGGCTACGATGTCGAAACAAGGACACCAATTTAGTGGAGGGTTCGACATTTTCGTGCGACAAATCTTAAATGCGAGATTCGAGAACATCCCCCCTGTGATGATTTTGACCCAGCGTTATTTGAGACAAGTTGACAGTCACTTCATAAGTTGACGTCACAAATTCGTGCTCAAATCAGACAGAAATACTCAGTGACTACCTTGTATTCCGGAATGAGGGCTGAAAAGATTATTGTCCTTCTAAAAAACTAAATAACACACTCACATGGAAGTTCCGAGGGAAAATTTACCAAAAGAACACTGGATGTATGCGTGCCAGCGCAGAACTGGTGCTCTTATGATGGCATATCCCACCTGTTGACAAGTTTAGCATGAAAAAGATCTAAAGTAATAACAAAAAATGCAATAAAATATAAGGGTGGCATGAACGACTACCCACATGGGTATTACGTATCTTGAAAAGTGACATTATTTCGGTTTTTTGACACTATGTAGGTTTTTCTACAAGATGTTAACTTAGCACTAGCTGATGGACACTTGCTTTGAACTCGTTTTGTAGTTGTACGTGTTGCCTAAACGTCATGATGCTTCAGATATCAATCTTTGGGTCTGATGTGATGTAAAATCTGCTTCAGAGATAGCATTGTTAGAAGGTCTAAGCTGTAAACTGTATACTATAGCTAGAAGGAAACGGCAGCGCATAGGTGCATAGTGATGATTTGTGTGCTAATAATATGTGATGATGATAATTCCATTGGTTTCTTGACTCAAAAACACTTATTCATTCTGGAAATTATACTAAGTGACATATAAATCCGAACACCCTGTTTAAATGGCTTTATTTTAATAAAAGTGGGTGAATGTATTTATCTTACTGTAAATAACAAGTGAAAAAAAATTCAGCCTTATCAGTTGGGCATTCCGGTTTTTATACTGCTTTTTTTTTAATTTACTAACGCTCTAAAAATGAATATTTCAGCCGCAGTAAAGAATCAACGTTGGCGGATTTTGGTTCTTGACATCCTTTACGATCGGTTACGATGCCTAGAGTACGGAGACCTGTACGATTTCGTCAAACTTAGTGAGTTTGATAGGGGCCGTATAGTGGGACTTCGGGAAGCTGGACTTTCTTTTCGGGCAATTGCAGTTAGAGTGCAAAGAAGTGTAGACACTGTGGTTAGGAGTTGTCAGGCATGGCTTCGAGAAGGCCGTACGCAAAGAGCAAGGGGCACTGGACGCCGCCGTAGAACAACAGACCGTGAAGATCGCCGCCTAAGATTATTGGCCTTAAGGGACCGTTTCTCCACTACCAGGTCCATTGCAAATGAATGGTTTGCAGAACACGGAAGACCTATTGGCATGCGAAGTGTTTACCGACGAATGAGAAGTTTTGGCTTGTTTTCATACCGGCCACACTGGGTCCTCCCTTTAACTCGAGAACACCGACGTAATCGCCTTGAGTGGGGCAGACAACGGTCACTCTGGGATCAGGAATGGAACAGTATTGCCTTTAGTGACGAGTCTCGATTTTGTTTAGGCATGCACGATGGTCGTGCCAGGGTTAGAAAGCGACGTGGTGAAAGGAGGAATCCACAGTTTTTTGTTGAAAGACATGTTCATCACACTGTGGGAGTTATGGTTTGGGGTGCTATAGCTTATGGTTCCAGGTCACCTTTAATCTTCATCAGAGGTAACATGAACGCGCAGCGTTATATCCACGAAGTTCTAGAACCCCATCTTTTACCCTATCTTGACACCCTGGCAGATCCAACTTTCCAACAAGATAATGCCCGACCACATGTTGCAAGAGTCACAATAGACTTCTTTCAACATAATGATGTCACATTGTTACCATGACCACCAAGATCTCCCGACTTATCCCCAATTGAGCACGTGTGGGATATGATGGGTAGGAGATTGCTCAATTTGCAACGTCCTCCTCAGACTCTAGAAGCACTTCGAGAGGAGTTGGTGGTTGCCTGGAATGAGATACCACAGGAGGACATTGACCACCTGATCAGAAGCATGCCTAGGCGCGTTGGAGAATGCGTAGCACATCAGGGTGCATCCACACATTATTAAAGGTCAAAGGGCTTTAAAGCAGTGCAATCATTTTGAAATTTTTATCATTTACTTATTATGCTTCATTAAGTACTTATACAAAATTTTATTAAAATAAAACCATTTAAACTGGGTGTTCGGATTTATATGTCACTTAGTATACATATGCAAATTTGCTGAATTCAAAAAATGAGAGAGATAAGAAAAGGAAATATGTATCTGGTTGGTGAAGGAACATGTGAGAAAATGGTTATTACATCATTTTAAATTTTATAGAAATCTATTTTGCGATGTCAATAGAAAATACAAATCAGCGCCTAGATGTGAGCTTTGCGAAAATGTTTGATGTGTGATGCCTCATTCCTAATTTTTCTGTGATGGAGCTTAATTGCGCACAACGCGGGCGCGGTAGCGATTTCCCGATTTATAACTTTGAACATAACCTGTATTCAGAAAGGAGAACATATAAAAAACCCGTCAGGCACAGCTAATAGATATACTTCATTCATATTCAGTCATAATTTTCTCACACAGCCAATATCACTGATCTTATACATATGCAGACCAATACACATAATCATCCAGATGTGATCTTGCTGTGCAACCAACTTTCTTTTTTTTCACATCTTCTCAAAGATAAAAACTACAGACTACTAGGCTTCACAAAACATATACTTGCTTTCTGCGACCAGCAATGCGTGTAGTTGAGTCATTCCACCTTAAATGGAAGCTCACAGCGAGCAAACGTGAAATGAACTATTTGCACCTTAAAAATTACCTAGCCTGCAAGATGACATTTTATTGTTTTTTTTTACGTTTTATATGTTTTTTACATAATAGCCGTATATCAGTCCATCCATTACACGGTCTGTATTAGCTGCAATGTGATACTTATTAAATGTGTAATATATACGTCAATATTTATTGATGTACAAGGCTACGTAAAAATCCACCAACACTGACGGATCCATCACTAAATAAGTGACCATTTTCTCCAAACTACGACGTTCATTTTCACAAAATGATTTCTGATTCTATAGAGGGGAACTGTCTGAATTAACACTTCGAAACGATCTATAAGTAGGACGTCTACGAAGTGCATTACCCCATATCCCCATTTCCATGAACCCTTATTGTTCGAGGTAATTATGATTTTTTTTACTTTGCTAGACCTGTCTGGACCTCGTACAAATTGGAAACCATCACTTCGTTCAAAAATTTAGCATACAACTATCGGTAATTTTATTTGCGCCAAATTAGGCAGTCTTATGTAACACCAGGGTTATATTTTAAACATCTAATTATCCATTGTTGAGGTCAATATTGAATTCGACAAAAACGATTTATTAATGAACTCATTTAGTAGTAAAAACAAAGAAATGCCTTGGATTTCTTATTGGTAACATATACATATATATATATATATATAATGTTCGTTATTTCAGGTTGTTCTTAAATTTTTAATTCTTGGTGGCAAATTAAAAGGGGGGAAAATTAGTCAAATCGTTCTTTCGGGTTATTTTTAACAGGTAATTTTTTCTATTTAGGGTTTTACTTTCGGATTCTGACTTACATCTGGGACTTCTTACCCTTGGTTACCATTACTTCAGAGCTTCCACTTGGGTAGCCACCATTCTATAATAGCAAAGCACCTACCAAGGTGATTTTTTTTATTTTAGTTTTTACTGGAAACCGTTTAGCTGGGGGATAGTACCAAACAATTTCCTTTAGCTTGTCTCCCAGGACTTCTTTTAATTTTTTTTTGTTCAATAAATGTTTGTGTTTCTATTAGCTCCAGAGACCCATCATTTGTCAGTCAGTTTAAGTTTTGATAGGCTGGAAGGCACTACTTGTTACTTGTTTTTCCAAGTTCTTGGAACTAGGTGGGGCCCAAACCTCAACCATTTGTATCAAAGACCAAAGTACAAAGAACCACACTCTGAGGTCATATTGTATACCAACTGAAATATGGACAGGATAGCATGGTAGACGAGATAACAATATCACTAAAATAAATTACATCTCTTAGAAAAATCGTTTTACATAAACACTAATATACTAAGTGACATATAAATCCGAACACCCAGTTTAAATGGCTTTATTTTAATAAAAGTTGGTGAATGTATTTATCTTACTGTAAATAACAAGTGAAAAAATTTTCAGCCCTATCAGTTGGACATTCCGGTTTTTATACTGCTTTTTTTTAATTCACTAATGCTCTAAAAATGAATATTTCAGCCCCAGTAAAGAATCAACGTTGGCGGATTTTGGTTCTTGACATCCTTTACGATCGGTTACGTTGCCTAGAGTACGGAGACCTGTACGATTTCGTCAACTTAGTGAGTTTGATAGGGGCCGTATAGTGGGACTTCGGGAAGCTGGACTTTCTTTTCGGGCAATTGCAGTTAGAGTGCAAAGAAGTGTAGGTTAGGTGTTGTCAGGCATGGCTTCGAGAAGGCCGTACGCAAAGAGCAAGGGGGACTGGACGCCGCCGTAGAACAACAGACCGTGAAGATCGCCGCCTAAGATTATTGGCCTTAAGGGACCGTTTCTCCACTATCAGGTCCATTGCAAATGAATGGTTTGCAGAACACGGAAGACCTATTGGCATGCGAAGTGTTTACCAACGAATGAGAAGTTTTGGCTTGTTTTCGTACCGGCCACACTGGGTCCTCCCTTTAACTCGAGAACACCGACGTAATCGCCTTGAGTGGTGCAGACAACGGACACTCTGGGATCAGGAATGGAACAGTATTGTCTTTAGTGACGAGTCTCGATTT